GGCATTATTTGAGACCATACAATTTTTGGATAGTTTTTTTTTTTTAAATTTGGCAAATACATAACCAAACAGTGATATGAATCCTACTATCCTGGAGGTGGTAAGGTAATTGAAAATAGGTGTGGAAAGGGTATGGTTTGGTGAGAGGAAACTAGAAATGCCTCAGAGTTCTAAGTCCTCTCAGAGCAGCAGATCTAAGCACAGGTATTATTAGATGGCCCCAAGGAATTCTTTAGGGACACAATTCTTTAGGGACACCAATTACTGGCTTAGACAAGCCAGTCATTTCTCCAGGCCTCATTTCTTCACTGTACAGTGGAGAATTCATCACACTCCAAGGTAGCAGGTGTCCTTGCTCATCATACAAGTGATATTCAACTTGAAAAAGATTTGCCTTTGTATTTTCCCTCTATCTTATAACTCCAGTCATGATTTTAATCATAAATATAGAGGCAACTTAATCAAAGAAAGATGTGTTCGAATTTCCAGATGGGCAAAGCAGTACTGACTTGTGGGTTTGAAACCACTCCCAGAGAATTGGAGATTTATCTGAGCATATTTCAATAAAGGCTGCCTTTGTTATAAAGCTTTAAAAACACAGCAAGAAGCCAGGCTCAGCGGTGCACATCTGTAATCCCAGTGACTCAGGAGGCTGAGGCACAGGGATTGTAAGTTCAAAGCCAGTCTCAGCCACTTAGTGAAGCCCTAAGCAACTTAGCAAGACCCTGTCTCAAAATAAAAATAACAAAAAGGGCTGGGGATGTGGCTCAGTGGTTAAGTGCCCCTGGATTTAATCCCCCAATACAAGAAAAAAAAAGAAAAAAAAAAAACTAAAAAAAAAAAAAAAAAAAAACCCAGCAAGGATACTTTCTATCTGGAAAAAGTTGTGTTTTCTCTCCTCTTTGCCTGCATCTATGAAAGGGCATTATCCCTCTCATAGTTCCTACATGATTGGCATACATTTGAGGCCATATCCGGATCATAGAAATATATGCTAGTTAGGATTCATTAACACGACAGAGGTTACACCAAGTAGGACAGTAAGATTCTATTTTACTACCTTTCTGACAGACTGTTTTATAAAGAGGAGAAGGTTGTGAAAATCTTGAATTCCCAAGTTTTTAGTTTTATCCAAGCTCAGTGTAACTTCATCCAAAGCTCAGGTCCCCACATCTCCCAGATAGGAAGAACCAATAGACCTCCATGGCCTGGGACCAGACAGACAAACCCTGAGCTCACTCTCAGAGGTGCTACTTTAGGATATCAAGCTAATATTATGACTCTAATAAGAGTACCAGGAAATACTGTATGGGACAGAATGACACCCCCCCCAAATTTGGGATAGGTCTTCAATCTCCCAATGCTCTCCAAATGAGAATGGAATTTTGCAGTTCTAAAGGAGAGAAGGATCACATCCAAATCACCAAGAGAGCTTGTTGAGACTGCATCTGTCCAGAAGCAATTGTCCTTTTTCTTCCCAGAAAGAACTGTGGGTAGTCCTCATAAAAGACACACTTGATGAGGAAGTACCTGTGCCCACATGGATGCTCACACACAGTTGCATACATGGGAAACTGTGAAATCAGTCATCTAAGAAATCCTAATAAATCACTCATACAACTATCTCAGCACCCTAAGAATTGATTCACAGTCTCCCTAACTTCCTCTAGGGAGTAGAATGTCAACTCTATGTCAGGTAATATAGTAATCAAAGGACATCTAGAAACCTTAGAGACTTTGTTCTTCAGAACAGTCAAGCTTTCCAAATAGTTGGAGATCTGCCCATTTAAGCACCAAGTCATTTTTTTTCCAAAGCAATATTTCAGCAATTCTGGATATAAACCTTTCTAAAATTTATTGCCTGTGTTCAATTTTCCTGAATATAATTTAGCCTCACCTTCAAAATTCAAGGCTGTAATCACAGGCATCAATTTCTGTCCTGGGACTACAAAAGGGAGTTAGTTTATTACTGAAGGTTGCAAAGACCTCTAGATAAGAGCTGGAGGCAAGTGGAAAGTTGGTAAACAACAATCCAAAAGTGAGACTCCAAATAAACAAGCCAGAAGCAGAAGTCAGAAACTAGGTAGGGAGCCAAGGAGATAAAATAGAGGTTAACTATCAACAGTGGAAGGTTTAGCAAAATTGTCCACAACAGGCATTGCTTCCATGACTTGATTTCCTGAGTTAGTTTGCAACTGGCAAAATCTCAGCTCTAAAGGATCATCTCTGTGGCTGTCAGGGTATCTTCCTCTGCTTTCCCTCCTTCCGTACTTCTAACTTCTTGTGGTCCTAGAGACCATCCACCTGGTCAGAAGTGGATAAAGGGCTCAGCTGCCTTCTTGATAACTCAGCTGTATGAGGGCTTTGTTGTGGTCAAGAACCTCTCTAACTCATTTCCTGGACATCAGCTATTTTCAGGAGGTGATATTGCTGCAAGGTGAGTTCCAGACAGATTAGAAGGTTCAATTCTTTCTTAATTTTCTGCTGGAGCTGTCTCCTACAGGTGTTCTGTGACAGTGACCATCATGTCCTTGCCTCTTAGAACTAAAAACTTCCATATTGGGCTGTACCCTTTCCAAGAACTAAAAACTTCCATCTTGGACTGTACCCTTTCCAACYGAGAGACTCAAATCCACGTGTGTCTGGTTGCCTGTGTCATGGAGTAGTTAATATTGCAAAAAAATCTCTCAGAAGGGTACACATCTACTTAGAACTCGCCAAATTCCTCTAATTTTACCAGCCTCATTGGATGCATCCCTTCTTAGAGCCAGGATAGCCTCTKGGAGGAAGGGAAGTCATCAGCAAGCCTTCTGGCAGAGACCACTCATCAGAGCAAAGGCCAGGATATCAAAGAATAACAGTGATTTAGCAGTTTATGTTGCAGGCAACAAGAACTAAGAGACCCTGCCTTCAATTTACTGAAGCCACATAACTGAAACAGCATCAAAGAGAATAATCCATAATACAGTCATCAGTCCAGACAGAAACTGAGTGTTTTAATTGAAAAAAGAAGGGGAAAAAAGGAGACACAGGAGATGTTCTCATGTTTGTTTGTTTGTTTGAATCACCTTGCAATTTATCTGGCTACCCTTAATCTGGCTTCTTTTCACAGGAACCATCTTTGCTTCCTCTTCCAAACATCACTCCACCCTCTGGCCTAGTTTTCCTTATTTTTCTTCTCTTCTGGCTCTTATTGAGGGAAAGAGGAAGGGAAAGATTGTCTATGAACAGCATAGTTACGTGGTGAGGAACAGGAGGGCTTTGGAAGCCAGAGATGGAATGGGATCCCAGACCTGCCACTCCCTAGCCATGTGACCCTGGCCCAGTTACTTCATTTCTCTGTGACTCAGTGTCTCTGTCAAGTAGAGAAAGGATAGAGTTGTAGAAAGAACCCCTGGTAGCACTAACTCCACAAGACAGTTGTCAGTGTCGTCTGACACACTTCTAAACACACACAAGTACACCATGACACTGCACTGGTAATAGAAGCCCAGGGCCTGGCCATCTGTCACACCTCATAGTGCTCTCTCAGAAGACACATCAAGATTTAAAGATCCCTGAGCAGAAGTTCTTGAAGACCCGTTTTAATAAAGTAAGAATTACTTTTCATGAGCACGCATATCAACTAGTACTTGAAAACTGTTTTAAAACATTCAGCTGGTTCCTGAGATCTCATTTACAACATTGATGTAGGGTAATTCCCATTTTCATAATAAATATAAGGGGAATTCTTAGCTTCATTATCCAAATTTCCAAATAGTTGAATGCACACACGACTGTCAATTCCTTCACCTTCCTCAAATAAGCCTACTTTTTAACCAGACTGTCACACATACCTGCTCCTTGACCTTGGGGATTCCAGATTTGGGCTCTTAATTCTCTTTAGTCTCCCTCTCATATTCTGCCTGGAGGGCAGTATCTTTCTCTCCTCATCTCCAGGTCCTGAGCACCATGTGCCAGGTACCCTAAATAAACCTGTGTCATTTGGGTACTGAATATCTAGCTCAGTAGTAGAGCACTTGCCTAGTATATAGGAGGCCCTGGATTTGGTCCCTAGTACAAGCCTTTCCTGCCAAGAATGACCACCCCTCATCCTGTTTTAAGATATATCTGAAGATTCTTCTGGAGGTCTCACACAAACATCAGCTCCCTGGTGGACCTCCAGGGCATATACTATGTATGTGATATCATGCTGTAGTTTAACTGTCTGTTGAGTTGGGCTTCATTGTGCATAAGAATCATCTGGGGATTCTCCTTAAAAAGTAGATTCTGATTCAATAAGTCCGGGGTGGGTGTGGGATTCTACACTTCTCACAGCTCCAAGGTGATGCTGAAGCTACTGTCTTTACGTAGACATCATCTACATAACGGGCTTTGAAGAACAGGCCTGCGACCTCAGGTTCTAGACCCGTGGTCATCATCTTTTGACACAGCTGCCCCGCCAACTCTACTAGGAAGATGAGAGGAGATGAAATTATGGAGAACAGAGGGGCTTGGGGGAGGAGGGAGGATTGAAGAGTGTGGGTAGAATTAGAGGGAAAAAAAGGAAACTGAATGATATTAGTAAACAGATGAGGAAGTAAAGAAGAAAAGGAGCGAAAACTACAATAGGATGGAAGGAAAGAGGAAAATAAGAGAGAGACACAGCATGAGAAGCAGAAGGTCGGCTGACTTYTTCCTCGGGATGGAATCTAGCCTTAGTCTCTGACGGCCCAGATGAGGGGTTTGGCTCTTGGACTAAAGCATCCCAAAGGTGGGACTGAAGTAGTGTGAATGCCACTAAACTAGTGTGCACAGAGATTGATACTGCACTCTGGGGCCCTTCCTGAGCGATTAGGACCAAGCTATCATTCTCACAGTAATAATAAAGAAGGCTCTCTATCACAACCGCCATGTATAGTAGAGTTTATGCCAGCTAAGAAAATCTAAGAGAGTAGAAAGTCTTTTATCTGCAAATCTCAAACTAATTACCCTTGAAAATGATCCAAACAGAAGTTTACCTGATAGAGTTCAATCCGTTGTTCAGGCACTCTGGCTTTGGGGTTCTGCATACGAAAGACTCTGAACTCTGCTTTCACCAAATTGGAAGCATTCTTCTCCAAGGTTGATACATCAAACCGGACAATTCTGAAGTAGGGTCTGTAGAAAGTGGGCGGGATGGCATCTGTAAAGAGTTAGGGCAATCATTAAATGATAAAACCCACTCTGCTCTCGAAAAAGACAGTGGTGTAAGACAGTCCCCCCCCCGCCCCCCGCAAACCATAAGGGAAAAATCTACAGAATGATTTCGTTTCTAGTGGTCAATTTACTACCACTAACAATGAAACCAGAACAAAAAGTAAAATAAACATGTGCACTTGGTTACAGGAGTAGCAGATTAATAGAGATTAACAAACTACTTCCAACTACATTGGAGGGTGTGCAGCTAACCCTGTCCTTTGAAGGTTCACGGAGTGGTGGAAAATCCTAGATGGCTATGAACTGGACCAAGTTCATGACAGTTGATGCCTGGAGAGAGCTGTCGGCCTCGCATACACTTTAATCAGATGTGCCAAGAAAATAGCAAGCAGTTCGCCCATGTATTTTTTTTCCTTGAAAGTTTGGCATCCAAATAGTCTACTTTTATCCAGGCCCATGTATTTCATCTTTTTTGGCTACAATAGTTTGGTTTTTCACACACGTATGACCAAGTTATGGTGAGGAAATATAAATAAACAGAACCATATTAGCAAGCTGGCTATACCAAATCCAGTCTTAAAATTCTTCATTATTTATAATTCTGTTGATGAAAGGTAATCCTAGTTAATAATAAGAATTAGCACAAATTCCCTCCGTCTGAACCATGCAAAAGAGTTGCAGAGAGTGCACAATTATTTCAAGCTCATGGGTTGCTTAGAGTTTTGCTGTTATTATTATTATTTTTTAATAATCTGCCATTGCCTTTAAATGTACAAGTGAGGCTATACCAGGACCAAAAAAGCAGGTCAACTCTATCCCTAAGCTTTCATATACAGCATTCATTTATTGAATACCAACACTGGACCTACCACTTGACAAATGTTTCTACCATCTTCTTCCCAAATGGGCAAATCTAGCTTCCCTATGCCAGAGGACTCCATCCAATCTGGTAGCTCCATTTCTTTCTACCCTTTCTTCTATTAGGTAGCTTCATGACAAAATGATCATTCACAGTTGTTTGTTTCTTTACAAGCAAAATTTTTATTACTTCTGCATCATGTTTGTTTATCTTGCTTTCCCCTGAGAAATTTTAAGAATCTTAAGGGCATAGRCTTTATTTGCCAGATCTTTCTTTTTTTCCCACATATTCAGGACAGTGCTCTGCAAACATGAAGTTCACCAAAGAGCTCCAGTTTGCATAGCTGGTCATCAATGAGAGTCTTGAAGGACACAGGCATCTGGCTATTGGCAATGCTAGCTTATTAAATAAACAAGCCTTCTTGTGGAGCTTAAAATAGAAATGAACACCTTTCATGATTTCTTGAGAAATCCATGCCCTGACAATTATGCTTTTTTTAAAAAAAATCCAAGAACACACGAACATTTCCTCATCTTAAGAGCTCTAGATTTTCCCCCTTGTGGCAGTTTCCCCTCATCCTTTTCCCCATATACTTGATMATCTCTGGATTCAAGTTCACAGAGAAGAAATGAATTTCAAACCATGCCGTGCTCGATGCTGGTTCGTAAAGCCACTGTGTGAATTGAGGCTTTGTAGCTAGTGAACCAGAAGTTGCAGAAACAAACAAACAAACAAAAAAACCCCAAAAATCCAAAGCATCCAGATTTCAGAGAAAAGAAAGTATTCATGCAGACACAGCGATGAGCCACTGCAGCCATTGCCACTGCGGAATAGGTGGTGGGCAGTTGCAGGAGGGCAGAAATTGGTATTAACAGAAGGTTTTTGGAGCCCCCTAGCATAGCAGTCTGAAAAGGTACTGTAGAAAAGAAAGAAATCTGCTTCTCTCCTAGAATATGCCCACCCCAATGACGGGAGAGGCTGGTCCTATCCTAACCAGCTCAACCCAAAACAGGCTGGACGCCTAGACAGAGAAGGCTGGGCAGAGCTGGGGCCAGGCCCTCTGGCTTTGCACACCCTCTTGGCCAGAACCTTCTGCAGGCCAGAGTGGCTGCATTCATCTTCACTTATCCTCAGCATTAGACAGCAGAAGTTTCAAACATCCTTTGRAAGAGCATCCTGGAAGAGCAAGGCTAATTTAGCGTGCTTCCTGTTGTTAGCAAGAGTAAACATCTCGTTCATTTTCTTCTCTTTCTGTGGATCCCCCACAGGCCTGTTCTACTTCCCCCAAACACCCATCTTTCACGCCCGCCTGCCTCAATCTTATCCTTCTATCAAGTTTGTAAATAAGTGCTCTTGAGATTTATTTTTATTCTCTTTTGTGTTTATTAAACTTTGAGCAATTTTTTCCCCTTTGTGGTCTTCTGTCCATATACAACTCTTCCTTTTTATGGCTGCCTTAGAGCATGAGGTCAATTTTGTTTCTTCTTCTTCTAAGCAAATCATCCAATGATCCTTTCCTAAGCTTTTGAAGCTCTGAAGGGGCGTCTGCAAATATTTACAGGAGTAGCTTGATGGTTGAGTATGGTTGTTCTGTTCTGCTCCCTCCACATGGGCAAACAGCCCTCCACCTCTCGGCTTCTCAGAACCATTTAAGCAGTTTATATTTCAACTGCCGAACAATACAAACCTGCATCTGGGGTGCTTTTATAAATGGAAGCAGTTAATGCACAAAGTGAAAGGACAGCTGAGCATCCCCCACTAGCAACCCCACATGAAAGCAACCAAGCCAGGAGGAAGCAGCCGCCTTATCCATTCCCTGCGCCAGCACACAAGACCACAATAAAAACTGCTRACCAAAGAACTCCCATTCGCAAGGGACAGTCCCAGCTGTCCCCTGCTGTCGCTTTCTCTAGGCCACAGGTCCCTGCTTGGCTGATGGACTTGACCAACTTGCCAAAAGTCTCATTTGGATTAAAAAAAAAATTGTTTTTTTATATTTTTATTTTTTTGCTATGAATTACTCTGTCCTTATCTGTGACCCTGCCTAACTTCAAAAATGCTTTTGGATGCAGGATGCAGGCGAACCGAAAGAGGCCCCTCTACAACCAGTCAGGAGGAGCAGGCGCATGCCTTTAGGGTGCCAGAGCAGCAGGGTAGGTGTTTAATGGCTAGTGCAGCCCCGACCGGCCCACTTTGTCTTGGAGGGATGGAGCTTTTTCCTCTGCCTCCTCCAAGAACTCATTTCCCCCTCTGGAATGGGAGTTCTCTCTAATGTCCTCTGTAATTCCAATCCCGGTTCTGATTCCACTGCCAGGTGGTCAGGTACTTGTGCCTGACCTTTGCCAACTTACCCACACTCACATCCTGGCCCGCCTCTTCCTCCCAAATTTTGACCCACTTTTTTAGTTCAATCAAACTGATTTTCCTTCAACCCTTTGGTTTCATTCCAGCAGGCCAATTCTGGTCCTCCTCTCATGCTTTGCCATGTGCCTTCCTCTCAGGGAAAATCTTGCACATAGAAGATTCTAGAATGACATCAAGTGAGTAGTGTCCCCCTCACCTCAAACCTGGCCACATTCAATGCCTGATAAATCAAATTTGAGACAATGAGAAATGTAAAAAGAATAAAATACATCATAATAATAACAAGGAAATCTAACCAGTCATTAATTTCCAAAGTAGTAATATACAGAAAACCTAAATATASAACTTAATCACAAACTTTATAGACATGATATATATACTGACTTGTGTCTATTTCAAATAATTTACCAACTTATTTGTTTTCCCTATAGAAGCACCTTTGGCTCCAGAATTTTCACTTATAGTTTTTTTGGTTCTCTATAGCTCAGGRCTGGCTTCATGGGCACTTGACGGGAGAAGGGACATAGGATTCCCATGCTCAGTTCCACATATAAGTTCAATGGTCTGTGGTCACCATCTTGAAATCCTTAATTTTATTTCTGAATTAATGCTTTGCAACTGAAGTTTTTATGGGACTAAGGAGCACTACAGTGRCTTAGAGACTCAGTTTTCATGCTGATCCACCTCCAGGCATTCTATATCCTAGTCTTTAGTGCTGTTGTCTCCGACCTTTCCTGGCCACCCAGTGACCACTGCCATCCTCTGCCCCCCAGGGAGATCAGGGTTAGGCACAAAATCCATGCCACTTCATGGAAGGGCATGTTGGTAGTTGTTCCCATGAAGCGGGCAGAGCCTCAGGGCATTCGATGGGCCTCTCAGTAGGAGCATGCTGCTCCCTGACTCTTAATCTAARCACCAAGCACATCCCAGTGCACAGTTTGCAAATCCCATGAGCAGGAGCTGCATTCTCATTGGAAAGGGAGATGTCTGTCTTCATGAAGCATCAGGCTGATAACTGGTGTCAGGAGAGATCCAACTGCTGGTGGGCTGGACACTCCAATTTTGGGGACAGGCCCCAAGTTCTTGTGAGTAGTATTTTCATGCCCAAGGGAGTACAATAGCAAATAGCCCATTTAAAAAAAATGAATGAAAGGAAGGAAGGAAGGAAGGAAGGAAGGAAGGAAGGAAGGAAGGAAAGAAGAGAGGGAGGGAAGAAAAGCAACAACAGGTTGCGAGAGAGACCATGAAACAAAGCAAAAGTATATACATATTCTAGAATCTCCAATAGCATTTTTCTCACTTTTTGAACAAGAGGCCTCACATTCTCATGTTGAAGAAAGGTCCTGTAAATTTTGAACCCAAGCCTGCTGCAGCCACACAGAGTTAGAAGATCTTAATACAGCAAAGGATCTTTAAGACTATCTCAATTCTGACCCCAAATCAACCAGTGCTTGATAATTACGTGACGACAGGGACATCACCTGGCTTTTCTCAACCTGTTTGTTCATCTATATTTTGAGTAGTAGGTATTGAATCATACTGTTAGGATTATACAGGCAAAGAGGTTGAAATGTGGAGTGCTGAGTCTAGCCAAAGTTTCCACTAGGACCTTTCCTGTCCCACTCTGCAGCAAAGCTGCCAAGTGGTCACACTGGAGCTTCTGTGAATGCCCCCAGGAGAGACAGCTCTCTTACTGCCTCATAGACTTAATTAGAAGAGCAAAGAATGAGCAGAAGCAACTGAGTGTCCTGGGCRGTACATAA